CGGGACAAATACCATTTTTCGTATCGGTGCTAAAGACCCCTTAGCAGTAGGAGGAAACCGGAAGACCCGGAGAAAACCCACGAGGTTAGACAGGCGACCCTACTCCATGTTGACTCAATGACAGACCGTATGATACAGCGCGCGCGTGCTAACCATTCGGCTACTATTATGGCGGGACAAATACCATTTTTCGTATCGGTGCTAAAGACCCCTTAGCAGTAGGAGGAAACCGGAAGACCCGGAGAAAACCCACGAGGTTAGACAGGCGACCCTACTCCATGTTGACTCAATGACAGACCGTATGATACAGCGCGCGCGTGCTAACCATTCGGCTACTATTATGGCGGGACAAATACCATTTTTCGTATCGGTGCCGTTTTACGTTAACGTTATTTTATTTTAGTTAATTGTACTAATCAGGTGCCCCAGATGCCTGGAAGATAGTAACCTACTTTCAGCAATTGATGATGGCAGGGACTGTCGGTGAGTTAGTCTAAGAAAGTTGAATCTTGCAAAATACCTAGTTAACCGATTTCTCGTTGTCACCGATTTGTTTAACTGCTTGAGCTCCCCTAACTAAAATAAACACTGTAGTATTACCCCCCCCCCCCCCCGACACACACACACACACAAGCATCAAGTTCGTCGGGTCTGAAAATGCTGGCGACACTCTACCGGAAATTATTTCATTTTGAGCAACTAGTTCTTGAATTTCTGGTTGATTACTCGCTAGAAATTATTATGTACAGTAACATTATTCCATTGGGCTTTTTCTTTCGTTTTATCGAATATGTATTAATAAGACAATGCGGGATAACTTGTATGATTTTATAACAAGCCTCGCCCACAGAGAGTTAAAGATGGGTTCCCAGAAAAGTATTTATCGGGTGGTTATTTCCAATAAAAGTATGGCAATTTTGGTATATATGGAAAGTAGAGATATCCACTCTTACTAGAAAAATACTGGATCACCCGAAAAACACTCATGGAGCGTATACAGGACAAAAATGTAAGGGTTCCCCTAATCAACAGCCCGACGATTATGACCTTCCGCACGCACGATGTCAAAGGTTACACGCGAACATTGAGCGCTTGATGTACAAGTTGATAAACTTTATGAAGAGTTAGACGTACAATACTTTCTGAGATAAAAATGACGGAAAAAGACGCGGGTAGTGGATAATCCGAGAATTTAATTAGGATTCGATATTTGTAATAAATAGTAAGCGATTAAAGACAACATCGTCTTATGTACGCAATGATTTCTCCTCTGACTCCCAAGACGTGACGTAAACATGACCTGGTTTGATCGAATTTTAATAGCAGGGCATTCCTTCGCAATTACAATGTTTGAGAAGGATTTGAAGCATAATTATGACAAATTAATTAGTTTGAATATGTTTTTGGTCCATATATACCATTAAATCACCCAGTTTGTACGCGGGAACCCATCTTTAATAAAGCCATATATAATAATTTTTATATAGATGTATAAATGACAACCCTAAACAAAAAGACTCACTTTACATAATCCCCTGTAGATGCAGTGTAAAAGCCCAGGGAGCACATGAATAAAATCATTTTCTTTTTTGCGTCACGAATATGTCTATTTTGAGATGTGATACAAAGACTTTCTTACTTTATACTTGACAACAGTGAATGCTTCATAACTTCAAAGTTCAAAACTGATAAATATTTCATATGTTTTGTTATGAGTTAACCAGTTGTAACGTTATTTCATATACAGGATAGATAATTGTTCATAATAAAGCCGTCATCGGTTTGAGAAAAAACCCACTTTTAATAACCATAAGGCATTTCCATCCTTTGTATCCTGGTGTAAACGGACAGATTACAGACACTCTATTTCGACTTTCCATTATTAAAAATTCTGATTAAAAAACGAAAGTAGTGATCTCTTAAACGTCCCAAAGCAAATTCCTATATATTGCCCAATGAACAGTAATATGTACCCTTCGTGTATTGAACCCATAGATGAGCTGTATCTTCGTATTAAAGTCTGTGGGGTTTTCTATCGCCAGGGACGAATCCTCTTTAGTGTGAAACAAAACAGCAGTATAATTTCTAACCAGTAGAATCGATAGTTCTAAGTGAAACCAGACAGACAAACATTTTTATTTAACTGATTTCCCTCGAACAATTACTCTTACTGTAAATAACCAGATTATTAATCACATGGCGATTAAAGGTGCATTATGTAAGATTTAGATAAAGAACTGGCCGTTCTTGCTATAATGGTTCCAAAATAGATAACTAAAAATTTATATTTTGAAAATTTCATTTCAAATTACTTTATTCAGAGCGAATGTATCACTGTTTGAAGTTTTGACTTAGATTGTTTATAATCGTAGCAACGTTACTTGTTAATCGAGACTCGGTCTCGCCTCATTTTGAATGTAAATCATTAAATGGCGACTGTATTTCAATCCGTTTACATCTGTGCCACCCGGTGTTCTAGAGAGTTGATTATTAACTTGGTACGTGAATAATTGTCTAAATAATAATGTATGTAACATCTGAAGCCCAAATAAAAACCGGCAATAGGCATCTTTAAATGTAGCCAAAAAGTAAAATATAAGGACTTTCCAGACGTCCAAAACAGACTCTGAAATTATATGAAAAGATGTACCCAATCATGCTAATAAGGGCAGCAACATCCCGCAACTTTGGGCATGTTTCTAGAAGTTACGGCGAAAGACATTCTATGTGTTATTGGTAACAAAAAAACAAAACAAAACAAACCAACAGTAGTATACTATCGGGCTTTCCATATATGCTACGTCTTCATTAGCCTATTCGTCGCAGAAAAAAAAGGGCGTTAAGGCCCATTTCATTTCATTTCCATGTGTGCTACCGAGTTATAGTGGACATGATAAATATGCCGTTCAGACGCTGAAGTTAAACTGGTAATATATAATAAATAACACCAGCGATCGTTGACCTCTGAACGCAGATAAAAAAAAGCACAGATATGCCCCGGAAGAAACTTGTATACAAGGTAAATTTGCTTCCATGGAAACACAAAAATAAATCCGTATGACTCTATCAAATAATTAAAAACAGACAGACTGTCCCTTGGTACTGAAATCAGCGCTTTTAGATAATATTGTCGCAATATTTTGAACATATTAAATTCCCTGCTGACTAACTGGTTCCTCCCAGTTTTAACGTCTCTTCGTTATCAATATTGTTTCAATACGAAAAACCTTTAGTGATTAAAATCATACCAACATTTAGTTCATTTTTTTCTGGCACATCCCGTTTATTTAAGTTTATGTATTTAAAAAAAAAACAAAAACAAAGATGTTAAATACACCGCTGACAGGGCAATTAATGTTTATAGCTGGTGACTATACTCATGACCATACTGGCACTGACATTCTACCCAGTATGTTCAAACCGGGACAGTACCATTTTGGTAACGTATGGTATAATGCGGCGAGACAGCGTTTAGCCCCTCTTCTAGACGATTACACCATTGCTCGGGTAATTTCCAAATATCATAATCTACCAAAACAGCTTAATGCACGGTCTTGTGAAATACAAGTCCATACATCTTCGGGATTTTTTTAATTTTGGCCTTCGCTGACAAAGTAAAATTGCCCAGTAGTTCGAACTAGGTGATAATACGAGATCCACACAAAAATACCTCCGAAAGCTTGAAATTAACGAAGATTACTGGTACTTGGCATTCACACCGAAGTATAGAAATAAAAATCACCATGTTCATCTCAAAATGTTGAGACATTTAACCCAATTCCGTTACATTCCATTCTAGTACATTTAAGAAATGATTCACAGCGTCCACAATCGTAAAGGATCGAATGGCGTTTTGGCATCAAATTTCCATTTGTTGACATACTTTTCAACAAATGGAAATTTGATGCATAATATTCAAACGAAAAATTGTGAGGTGAATGTGGTGAAGGCGAAATATGCGCGCACCATTTCTAGAACAACTCATTTCATTCTCTTCAAATTTGTCTGTGAAGTTCCGTTTGTTGTACGACTGCGAGTTGTCATTAGTGCTGATTAGTGGTCATCTTATCTTATCGATACCTGATGCCTCTATTCATTCATTTGATAATGTCAATTAGCTTTGAAATTGTTATGCTATACATATATATATATATTTATGTTGCCATAACATGGTCCGTCTTATCTGCGGTAACTATGGTAACATTTCATTAATCATATTATATGGCAGCGAATATGGCCTTCGTTTGAATTACATCATTATAGGGTCCATTATTAGAAAGAAGTGTCATTACAGATATTGCATTTATATATAAAAGAACATAGTGTGGAAAGGCAGTATCTTTCCTTCAGCTTTTTATTACAAATGAAATCTTCCCATAAGTGTGTCGAAATACCGGGAATAAAGGATTTTCGGGTGATGTCTTCTGGTGACGAATAAGACATAACCGGTAAAGAAACGATAAAAATGAAAATATTTTTCCCTCTCAAATAGTAGTATTGAGTCTGTGAGTGTAAAAGATGCCAGTTTTTTTAATCGTATTTACCAAATAAAGAGGTAGATTAAGTATGCAAATTAAGCGTCAAAAGCTCATATACCATTTCAGCTCAAAATATTAACACTTTTAGAGTCCTTATCTCCAATTATTAATCGAGTGACCTAATATAATAAAAGTAGTTTTTCCACACAGTTTTTAAGCGCATTATCCTTTCGTTTTGGTGTAATATTAAATCGGCCTGTTTAATTGTGTTAATTTCTCGTTTGACATAAACTGTTGACTCTTTTCCGCCTACTCTTTTAAAAATAGAAGCCCCACTGTCATCATTTAGAGCAATGTGTTCAAGGTTCTTCTCGGCCAAGTCCAGGATTATATCCTGGGAGGATTTAGTCGATAGTTCTGGCAATAATTTAAACACAAAAATGTATCAGATCCACACTTTCCTTTTCAGATAATAGTTATGATAATGTCAATTAGAAGAAATTATAATTAGAAAAATCTTACCTGAAACAGGTGCCACGGTAGATTGTGGTGGTGGAGCAACAGACGACGACATATGTGGTGCTCCTGAAGACATCGGACGTGGTGGAGTTCCTGACGACATTGGTGGTGTTCCTGATGATTGTAGGGGTGGTGGAGCTCCAGACGACATTGGTGGTTGTGGGGCTCCAGACGACATTGGTGGTGGATCTCCAGACGACATTGGTGGTGGTGGAGCTCCAGATGACATATGTGGTGGTGGAGCTCCAGATGACATATGTGGTGGTGGAGCTCCAGATGACATATGTGGTGGTGGGGCTCCAGACGACATTGGTGGTGGTGGAGCTCCAGACGACATTGGTGGTGGTGGGGCTCCAGACGACATTGGTGGTGGTGGAGCTCCAGACGAAATTGGTGGCGGTGGGGTTCCTGACGACATTGGTGGTGGTGGGGCTCCAGACGACATTGGTGGTGGGGCTCCAGACGACATTGGTGGCGGTGGGGCTCCAGACGACATTGGTGGCGGTGGGGCTCCAGACGACATTAGTGGTGATTTCGACGACATTTCTGAATGTGACATCGGGGCAACGTAGCATATCGTATTTCCCATGCTGTCGATAGCATAATATGTACCGTCCGAAGCGTAACTCATCATCGAATAACTCATCATCGAATAACTCATCATCGCATAACTCATCATAGAATAACTCATCATCGAATCGCTTATTGGGGAGTAACTCATTGAGTGGTCGCCCATTGAGTAACTCATTGTTTCCGGCATTTGACCGTACATCATTGATGAATCACATGGTGTTGCGGACCACATTTGTGACGCCGATGGTGCCATGGTCGGTGATGGCTCAATAGATGATGTAGAGGCTTGAACAACGGATACAGTACAAAGGCACAAACTAATCAAAAACGTAATCCGTCCCATTTTTACTTATATAAAATCCAAATTTCTAAGTTTAAATGTTTTGTCTTGTATCATAAAATGACGTTGCTAGTTTTGTTGCTCGACCCGACCCGTTGGCAATTGGTCCAAGTTTTTAATTCTTCTTATGATAAAAATGCCTGCTGTCAACTCCTCGCAATGTACATCTAGCGCTATCTTGGGTCTGTTTGCCAATGACAGTCTTGTCGGAAACAAACGACGGCAAACATAAAATCAATGTCTGTATTCAGTATGTTGTTAATTGATTTGTCCTGGCTCCTTTTCATTGGATGGTGAATTGTACGACAGAAAGCTTAAACAAGAAATATTTATCTAGCATGTATTTTGACGTGACTTAATATGTTGTCGATTTATTTCGTGACCGTTGTCGTTTTAATTTAAAACCGACCATATATATGGTCAAAATATGAATGTTAGCTATTGTGTATTATGAATAAATGCCCAGCAATGCTAATATGGATCGTGTTGAATCAGTGGTGAATTTCCGGGAGTTAGGGTTGGGGCCTTTGGTATCGCCAAGGAAATAGATATTATTAATTTTGTAAATAATAATAAAAAAACAAAAACGATTTTAATGATGTCATTTGCTATGAGGGCAAGAGTTGCCGTTGCAAGATGTCAGTTTTTCATTTTTATTTCGATCGAAGCCATTCCTACAATTTCTTTGTCAATGTTCGTCTGTTTAAGCGACAAACAATGTTAACATTATTATCTACATGAAGAGCGCGAATAAAGTTTTGCAAAGTGACTGCTGAAATTAGTATTGAATTTACACTTTTGAAAGGCGTAAAGTATTTTGAAACACAATTTAAAAGGTATCAAGATATAAACATTCTTTTGTATTTATGTTAGTACAATAGGGCCTGAATTATGGCAAGTGTAACAAATTTCGACAATTTTCATTTTAAGTCGAAATAACATTACAAGTAGATGTTTCGTTTTATCTTTCTTTGTTTACCAGTTTAACGGAATTGCAACTTTTTAATGACAAGGAAATAAATAATTTTCGATAGAAGCCATCGGCATAACTATAGTTAAATAGCAGCAAAAGGTTTGAAATATTCTAATAAATGATTTTCAATAGAAGTCATCGGTATAACTAGTTAAATGCGCCAGCAGGTGTAAAATATTCTAATAAAACCCGCAGATCAAGATTTTTTTTATGTCAGGTGCAATAACTATGCGAAAATGTGAGTTTATATGTCTGTGGATTGTTGACGATGCCCACGAAACGTGAAAACTAAATATAAATATTCATTTTGCATTATTTCTTTTTGAACTATTATAGTGAGAACGGCCAGCTCTTTATCTAAATCTTATATAATAATGCCCCTTTAACACTATCGAGTGAGTAAAAGGAGCTATTTTACAGGCTTGCAGAAAGGGGTGCATCTAGAGAATTTTATGTTAAAGAATAATAAACAAAATGGAATTTGTTATTTTATTAAAACAAACATTTATTGTATACATATATAGTGCCATGGCTTTTAAAATGCGTAATTTATCTCTAACTAGGCCTAGAAATTCTCAATGCTCTTTTTTTATCCATGAAAGGGGGTCTTATCTTTTCTTAAGGGCAATCGCAATGGCTCACTAACGGTGTTGGCCGAGAAAGTCGCCGGGGATTTTCCTGCGTGGTTACCCCTTGTCAGAGGAATATTATATGGTTTGACATGAACAACGTCTGGTCGTTCGGATTGGACGAAATTCCGAGGTCTCGTCTACACGTTGGCGTAGCCACTGTCCAGGTAAAATGTCCCTCGTAGTACACTCTGTAGAGTGTGCCCATCTTCATTAGCTCAGTCGAAGAAGAAGAGTACCACTTTCAACCCTGTTTCACTTCATTTCTTTTCTATTAACGTACATGCTTTGAAAGCACGTTCAGTGAATACGACAAAATTACTGATCTAATAGATTATATATGAATACTTTCAAAAGGTTTCAGCTATTCGTTAACTTTAATACACTCTTATAAGTACAATGGGCGATTTGTATATAGGATTTCCGGTCGATTTTCTTTCTTCTAGAATAAAAAGGTAAAATAGTTTTTAATAAATTATTAATGTTTCAAACATGATAATATCATGGATATATTTCTTCTATTATATCTTTAATAATGATAAGCAGGAAATAAACAACATGATTATAGGGCGATTTTTGTCTCCCGTAGGAGTGGGAGGGAAAGGGATGGAAGGGGGGGGGGGGGGAGGAGGTGGTCGAATGGTTAGCAGGTGCGCGCTGTATCATAAGGTCTGTCATTGAGTCAACTGGCGTGGTTTTCATTCCCCGATTGTACTTGACAAGGGGTAGGGTCGTCTGTCAAACCCCCAGGGGTTTCTCCGGGTCCTTCTGGGATTTTATAAACTTTCTGCTCAGTTAAATGCATAGAATAGGGTTAGAAGGGGGCGGGGAGAGGGAGGACAAATGGAGGCAAAACATCGCATATTTGTTTATTTGACGCTATTGCGATGAAAGTATCAGGGGAAAGTCCGGGTACCCTTCGATCTGGACGCAGACCAGTTTATTTGAATTTTGGGGTCTGGGTGAAAAGATGGCACATTTGTTTTTCGTTCTGGACACGGCTCTGGGTCAGTGCCATTAGCAAGGTCGGATTTAGATGATGAGAGGCCCTGGGCTAGTCCACTTATGGGGGATTCCCAATCTCAAAAATCACCAGGAAGTTAAAAGTGTGTTTAAAAAAACAATTGAGCAAAGCCGAGGATGACGTTTGTTTAAGACTACAGTGCTTGTAAGACAGGCTTACACACCTTGTCCGTGGGCCCTTTATATGGGCCTCAGCCTGTCCAGTCTCTTTGTAAATCCGACACTATACATCATGGTAAATAAACATTTTTTTAATCTTAAGACTAAGATTATGTACATAACCTATACTGGAAATGACGTTGTCGTCTCCTATAAAAGGTATCCATTTATGCCTTATGTAATGTTCTAATAAGATGTCAGTCCATATTCTATATATTCCCGAGGCAATGGCCCGAGAAATCCCTCCACTCCCGCCACTCTATTAAATCTTAAATCTTCATTTAAGGACCAATGACGGAAACGAATTTTTCACCTATCATTGTATACAGATTTCAAAGAAACCATTCTGTATAGAATTAACCATTTCTTTTTAAACAGAAAAAGAATAACTTTTGCATAAAATTAAGTAGTTTTACAAAACAAAACTAAACAACTCAAAATGAAACAGAAAAACATCCCCAAAATCAGCGGTGTAAAATTATACATTGTTGAAAAGCTACAATAATCCCTCCAGATTTATTTCTTGTTTTAAATTTTAATTAGTGGAATATCAATTTGCTCTACACCAGTCTACTATTATTTACAGCAGATTTAATACCGGATCTGTTATTCCAATAGTAAGCTATATTTAATTTATTAGTGAGTTATTATTTTATGATGATCATCACAATCTATTGTTCAGATATAAAGGCATCATCTATGTTATTATCATTAACAAATTTCAAGATTAACTTCATTTATCTTCTGTGTTATTAACATGGTTTGATGGGAGACTGGAATAATATGTATAGCTAATGAAGGTCGTGGTAGCCAGATTGTTATTTTCACCTCAATTTTATCAGATTCCAATAACAAGGTACACGGATATATAATGGCATAGGTAAATTGATTAAACAGGCATGAGCAAAGCTGTCTATTGTCTTTGTATCAGGTGGTTGAGTTTGCCGGAAAAGACAGAAGAAGTCGATAATGTATAAGTGGATTTAGCAACCTTTCCGCTTGAATCAACAAAGGAGTGGAATGGAATAGAGATCGATTTCTCGTCAAAACATTATTTCGGCCATTTTGAGACTATCGTGTGTTGACATCGATGTCATTATTTTCAAAACAGAGGTTAAACACCAACTAGTAAGTCTGGTAGTCAATTAGACTAACACACCAAATAAGTCTAGTTCTCAGACTAACACACCAAATGCTAAGATCGAATACGAATCCGCAAGTGATGACCGTAATGGCCAGTTCAGATTTTTTTGGATAAAAAAATTTCCGTTTCTTCAACATAACCAAGATTGACATTTCTTACAAGTATATAATAGCTAATCATATTTTGTACAATGATACAGTTAAAAATAATAATACAAATTTTGTAAAAGATCTATATTTATTCTCAAATTGTTAATTATATTTTGGAAATCTCAACCTGGTCATCACCCTTGTTATTGGTTGTGTTTGACGTTGTGCCATAATGACTGTATTCAACAGATGACAGTCGTCAAGACCGGTCGCATCTTTTCATTCTAATGCATCAATTCCCACATTGTTATCATAAAAAATATTTTTAATATAGAACTAAATTGTTTACCCATGGAGTCCGCCTATATATAACAATTGTTTCTTTCCTTCATTTTGCATGGTATTTCTTTTTTTTAATTTTTTTTTTTACTCTTTTGGTCTAGAATCAAGGGAGAGCGTTTGAATTTACATTTTCGGTCAGGTAATGGTGAATATCCATGGTTTGGAGGTGGTGAAAGGATCAGGCAGTAAACAGAAATAACGGAAATTTTACCTGGTGGTTTTAAATAGCCATAATTAAGTAGATTATTCATACGTAACAAAAACGTTGTATTTTTTTTAGCATGGCCCAAATAGTAGTCTTAATCCATGTTCTGTTTTAAACCCAACGATTATTTCCTGGGCTTGCCTCAATTCCACAAATTCAATAGATCTAACATTTAGAATTCTTGAAAGCACACGTGACTGATTATGACATACGCCAGAATAAAATAATGTTTGGAAAATACCTTCGTTATATGTCGTGTTATATGTTTTTGGGTTTACTCGATCTCATTTAAAGCGAAGTGTGTATCACAACCAGACCAGGACTGTACCTTTAGCGAACATGTAAGACCCCCACCGACACCCCCGTCAATCCATTCAATTGGTTTAGTTGTACTTTTATTATTTATTGCTTACAACGTCAGTGTGTCACTTGGTGTTTGTATGGTGTCCGCAGGTTTGTATTCTGTGTTTCCGTTTGGTTGTTGTTTGTGGTAAAG